TGAAATTTGTAGCAATTTACGCCGAGGTTATTGCTAGACACTTGTAGCAATCTACAGGTTGGTTAAACCAAAGAAGATGCTTAACACTTGTTGAAATTTGTAGCAATTTACAAGATGACATTAAGCCGACATGTGATCATCTGTTGAGATTTGCAGCAAATTACAGGTTGAAATAAAAGCTAAGTATATTGTTTAAACACTTGTTGAAATTCATAGCAATTTACAAGTAGAACATTATAACTTGAGAAATGTTTTCAAAGATAGCATTGAATAGTGTATACTTGTTGAAATTCATGAAAAGTTTGCAGGTCAGTATCTTGCCGAAGTAAAGCTTATAGTTACTATACCCGAGGTCTTTAATCCCGAGAAGATTGCACAAAGGAGGCAAGGTATGAAAGGCATGCCAAATATTCTAAGTATAAGACCATGCAGAAGCAATCAAGAGAAAATAAAGACTAAAGCATTCAGAGAAAAACAGTTGCAGTTGTGTACAAAGAAGGCACTGCGGCCTAACCAAAAGCAAATTGATCGGTAGTGACAAAGATAGGCACATCGGCCACAAAAGGAAGCTTACATTGTGCAGAAAATAGAAAAGTAAAAAAAAGTTCAAACAAAGAAAGACATTGGAGTCAGGCTCCTTCAGCATCAACAGCTGGATAGGCTGGAACCTCGGAGGATTCTGGTGGAACCACCTCGGCAATCTTTTCCGCCGCCAACTCGGCGTCAATTTCGGCAAGTGTTTGATCAAGACTTCTATCGACTGGAGGAACATCAGATGATGCTTGCTCCGGAGTGGTCTCCTTGATAACCTCCTCATCGTCCTCATGAGTCAAGTCTAGGACTTGATCATCTTGAGGAGGGGACTTGGTCTCACTGGCATCTTTGGGCCTCCTTACCAAAGCCTCATCGTCATCCTTATCCTCACCCTCAGATTCAGACTCAGATTCATCTTTAGCTTGGCTTGGCGGAGGAGGTGGAGGAAATGGAAGAGGAATAGCGTCGGCTTGGCGCAGTGGTGAATTATCAGGAAGATTAAGTTTCTTTGCAAGGGCCATCCAACCAAGGGAGAAGCCCCTGTTGCACGCCTGCCTAACTTGTAGTTTGTATTCCTCTATAACGTCGGCCATTCCTTGAGCATAGGCCTTTTTGTCGGCCTCCTTGATTTTGGCGTCTTTAGTAGATAAGGCCTCTTGAAGTTCCTTTTCAGCTTGGGCTTTTTTATCCTCGGCCTCTCTCTTCTCGGCCTCAGCGACCTTCTTAATAGCCTCGGTAGATTCGGCTTCTTCGGCTAGGGTTTGGGCTTTGGTGGCAGCTTCAGCCTGGTCTTCAAGCTTCTTCATCTTTGTTAGAAAAGTTTTGTTTTCCTTTTTTAGGGCAGAAACCTCCCGCCTCATATCGGCCAACTTCTCCCTTGTTTCAAAAGCTTGCATGGAGAAAGAATGGGCATGTTGAATGGCCTGAAAGAACCCAAGGTAAAAGTTATTACACAAACTTTACAAGTATAGAAAAAGAGGCAGAAAGACAAGTTGCCAAATGGGGGAACTTACTTGTACAGAACGTTGGAGCATGAGGGCGTAGTTCTCGTATTTGCTCATCTTGGCATTCCGCTCAAGATCGCCAGGAAGGAGAACAGCAGTACTGAGTGCCACGCCGACATTGATGTCATCGGCACTGTCACAGGCTAGAACAGGCTTATCTTCCAGGGTGATTTCAGGCACCCAGGGGACTCTTGGTATTTTGGAACCCGAGGTCGTCGCAGACGATGACCTCGGCTTCTTTGATTGAATGGACTCTGATGGCTATGTTTCAGCAGATCTTTTTGTCGGAACGGAAGCGGTCTTCCCACTCTCAGCCAGTTTGGATATAGGTAAAGTGTCCTCAGACTCAACCTTAGTCACTTTAGCCTTTGGCTGGGCTTTCTTGGTTCTCTTCGGCTTAGGTGGGGGCATAGTTTGTGTCGGCTAAGCGTCAACGTCCATAGGAAGGTCGGCTAGGAGATCTTAGGCAACAGGCTTCGGGCGACCCATCTCAGCAGTTTTGACAAGTCATCGCCGACGTTTTCTTTCTGGTATTGGGATTAAGTATGGGGCTGAAGTTGATGGTTAATCGGCTGGATTAGAGGTTGACCCTTGGTCAGCCCGAGATGTTGATGTGGTTTGTAGAGTGGTAGCAAAGGGAGGAGATAAGCTCTTCTTCTTTCTTTTTGAGACGTCGGGCAGTGTAGACTTGTACGTCGGAATAAAATTCAGTACCAGTGGAGCCTTGCGCTTTTGAATTGGCAGATCTAAGAGCTTCTTTAAGTCTTTACCTGGAAAATAGGACTGGCGAAAATCCTTTGGTGGCTTGCGAACATCTGCAAGAAGAACAAAACATTAGAAACAGACAAAGTTTTGAAGACTTGAAAAAGAAACAACTAAGTAATTGACACTGGGCTCTTACCCTTGCCCTCTTTAACTGTTCGAGGAAGAGGGTATAGATGGACATCCTCGTCTGGGGCAAACTCCCAATTTCCAGAGGCAATGAAGTAGTCATCTCCAGCCCCCTTATTGGAGTCTGGGAGGTTAGCTACGATTTTGAATTCGGTGGACCTCGGCTTAAGGTAATAGACGAAACCTTTTTCTTTTAAGTTCAGGGCACACATGGTATAACAATATTGGATATCGGCCAGCGTAATCCTAACGTTCTCCTGCCTAGCTAGGGCTATGATACCATTAATCACTCGATAGGAGTTGATGGTAAGTTGCATGGGGTTCAACCTATAGTAGTGGAAAACTTCGCGAAAAAGAGGATTAAGTGGAAGCCGGAGTCCACATTTAGTAAAGGCTACAATGGAAAAGGGCATCGTATGGTCTGTAGGCATGATGGAATCGTCATCCCCAGCTAGCCTAAGGTGAACATCAGCTGGAATGGAGAACTCTTCCCTAAAGTATTCAAGTTTGGTCGGGGTATCTACCCTGTGCCTCCACATATCCATAACGTCGGCCTAAAGTCAGAGGGCTAGGTTTCAGAAAAAAGATGCTCTTAAGGGGTTATCAGGACCTCGGCGAAACCCTAGGTATATACTGGTAAGGATTGTTTCTGTTTTTTCCTAAGAATTGATAGGTTCTATAGACAAATCCCAAACCTAAATCTATGAAGGCAAAGATTGAAAACAAAAATTGAAGGTAGAGATCTGGCAAAGACACAAAAAACAAAAAACAAAGGCAAAATTTCAGAAACAAGAACAGGGATGGGCTATCAAGAACATGAAGAATACGAGAAATAAAAGACCAAGATCAGTGGCAAAAATACAGTGAAGAAGTGCAACGGTGAGTGTGTTCAAGATATAGGCAAGGGCCAAATCAAGGAGTAAACACATTCAGATGTATGATTCACAAAATAGATATTTGAGCAAGGCAGTAATAACAGGAGATTCTAGAAATGGTCAAGAATTGAAATCAGAAGGAACAGTTGCTTACCAAAGAAATTGAAGCCGGAATAGAATTCGCCGAAGATAAACGACGGTTACTGAAGTACCAGAGTGGTAAAAGCTTCACCAGAAAGATGAACGAAGACGGTTGCAGAACTTGGAGCCTTAGCAATGGCGGATTCAAGAAGCAAGGGCTTTAGAGAGAGAAAAGTAAGTAAATCGAATACAAAGGTAAGGAAATAAAGAGGGAAAAAACAAAGTTTTGTTAAAAACTTGAAACGACGGCAAAATAGGGCATTTAATGCGCCTAGAACATCGCATACGTCAGACGGCGCAGACAGATTAAAACGACTTATAGACGCGTCATATGCACGGGCCAGTAAAGATGAAACGTGTGCAGGAAACGGTTGAGAAGTGATGCATGACAGCTCATGCGCGTCGGAAAGTTCATTTGAGTTCTTGTTCTTGAAAATAAGACATATCGGGTTGACATGAATGATCTTGGCTAAAGAGTTCTTACGCCGAGGTACTAGAAGACAATACAGATATAGGTTCCATCACCTCAGAATGCCGAGAGGTAATAGAACCTAGGGGCAGCTGTGGGGATGTATTTTTTGAATACCAACACGTGGCAAGGTGACGTCGACGTGTCAGCCGAGGTGCCACGTGTCAGCCGAGGTGCCACGTGTCCAGGTTGTGACGCCGAGGTTATCTAGGCAAGGCCGAGGTTATCTCCGAAGATATCAGAATCCGAGATAAATGGATAAAAGATAAGGGACAGGAGTCCTAGAGTAAAGAGAAGACTTTGCTAAGATAAGGATAAAGCTCTTAGGGAGTTTATCTTTATCTCTTGAGGAATCCAAAGTAAGCACTAAATTGGAGTCCATAGAAGTCAGGCTTCTAGTAGGACTTAGATTGAGTAAACTATAAAAGAGAGGCACCCCCATGGGTCTAAGGTACGCAATTTTATGCTTTGAGTAGTGAGTTTAGCACTTGATTATCTTTGAGAGATATACTGACTTGATCGTCGGAGTGCCCCCGGGTGGAAAAGCCACCGCCGGATCCTTTTCTTTCTGTTACAGGTTTGCTGAAGCCATCTATTCTGCCGGTGCTCTCCAGCTGATTACTAGGCGGGCAGTGTGGTCAGAAAATTACCCACACAGAAATGAACAATGGGTGGTGATCAAAACGTTTAGAGAAAGATGAAGAAAGATTTTTAATCAAAATTGGTACCAGGATATGATGAGGATGCCTTGGTTGGATTGGCTTAAGAGTAATGCCAAAAATAAAAAAAAAAATTAATGACAACATCTCTTGGCAATCTGTTTTTACTATTACTTTATGGAAAATTTGGAATAATAGGAATTTAATGGTTTTTGAGCAAAAATCTACTTCGAGTCAAGAGTATTGAATTTATTTTGAATTACTTTAGAGAGATAAACCAAGCATTCCTTCAATCTATATCCAAGCCTAGTCTTGCATTCAGAATTATTAATTGGTGTTTGCCACCTACAGGTAGACTCAAATTGAATACGGATGGCAGCAGGAGAGTTGGTGGTGGTGGAGGATTTGAGGGCCAAATCAGAGATGAATGAGGAACTTGGGTGTGTGGCTACTATGGAAATTGCACAGTGGAACAAGTCTAGAAGCAAAATTGTGGGCTATGTACAAAGGATTGACTGTCATACTACAAAAAGGAATGAACCAAGTCATGATTGAGACCGATGCTGAACAGGTGGTGCAATTACTGCAAGAAGAACCAGGTGACAGATGCCCCTTCAAGAACCTGGTGGAAGATGCTCAAATACTACTCAGAGAGTGTGAATGCTCTGTGCAACATGTCTGGAAAGAAGGAAATTTTTATGCTGATTTTTTGGCAAAAATGAGAGCCAACCAACCAGAAGAGATGCTGCTGATGAACGATCCATCGGCTGAGTTAAGAGAGCTGCTTGTATCTGATATGATAGGAATGGGTAGGGAGAGGACTTAGTTCCTCCTTTTGTTGTTTTTATTTCCGATGTACCCAAAAAAAAAAAAAATCTACACAATAAAATCATTTTTTAAAAAAAAATCACTCAAAAGAAAATAATAAGAAAAAAGAGTAAATTATATTAAATACTTTTAAATTATGGCTCATTTATACTTTGCCTTTTTGAATTTCAAAACTCAACAGTTAATCATCTTGAACTATTATCATGTTACACCTAACATTTTTGGTTATAATTCTATTTGGTATTTCAACAAAATGAGGTCATATGTGAAACATATAACACACTTATTATTTTTTAAGATAATAATACCCGTTATAAATTTTTTTAGAATAATAATATTCGAAAAATGCTTCATCCACCCAATTTTCCTCCAAACTAGCCCCCAATGATGTGGATCATTAGGGTAGAAATTGAGGAAATGAAGCGTTGCTCATAATATTCTTATTTGGTGATTTCATTTTTACTTTATCTTTCTTATCTTAGTGACAAAGTACAAAATGGATTACCAGATAAGAGTAATATTGTCCTAAAAATTCAATAAATGTATCATGTGTTTGTATATTATCCAATTTTGTATAAATTTCTAACATAATTCTAATAACAAAATTAATTATGATAATATAATATTTTGAGGTAGTTAATAGTTGATTTGAACCACTTTCAAATTACACCCCAAGACCAACCAATAACTAGACCAACCGATAGAGACTTCATGCATTACATCATCATATCATTTTCGGAAAATTTTATATGCACTCCTAGTTACAACATTTATAGTATTTAATTATGATTCATTGGAATGTTAATTATGATTAGAGGTGAACAAATTTCGGGCCGGGCCGAGTTCAAGCCGAGCTTACACTATATATTAAGAAAATATGTGTCATCTCAAGTTTGGCCTGACATCAGACCTAATCTAGTCATTCCAAATCCAGACCTAAAAAAAATATAAATCTCAAACCGCCCACTTAACCTAATAAATATGAACCATCATTTTTTATTTTTTTATTTTCATCTTGAATTAATTTTAAATTATTTGAATTCTTTTATATATTAATTAAATTTGAAACGTTAACAAAATTGAATGGTAAAACAAATTTAATTTTTGACAAACATTTTAATTTAAGCCTTAGAAAGAAATGTATATATATAGAGATGGCAACGGGTAAGGTATGGATCGAAATCCCTTACCCCACTCCCACTCTCATTTCCACAACTTACCCCTACCTCCAACTCGACCCTCATGAAACTCTCTCCCATCCTACCCAAACCCAAATCCACAAAAGTAATCCTCGCTTCCAATTCAATCTGATCAGCAGCACGATCAAAAATTTAACAATAACATTAAAACTCAATAATTAAAATTAGAAAATCATATTTATAATAAAAAGAAATGTTATATATGGTACATATATTAAACTATATCATATATATTTTACAAAAATTCAAAAATATATTATACACATATTACATAGAGAAAATTGATGATGAATCCAATTTAAAGGGTATCTAAGGCATTAGGTCCAGTATATTTTTTTTATTGGTGAGAAATCCACCATTTGTAAAATAGTTTGGTGAGAGGTCCTTTTACTTGTTTTGAAAGACATTTAGTTTCTAATTTTACCACTTAATTTATCTGTGGACTTCTGCTGACTATCTGTTTAAATTTTTTTCTTGTCTGTTCAAACTTTTATCTATCTGTTCAAATTATTTTTCTATCTATTCAAATTTTTCTCTGTTCAAAAAATTTATATGTTCAATTTGTTCTACCTGTTCAAATTTTTTCTATTTATCTGTTCAAATTCTTATACATACACATATGGGAGAAATGGAAAACACTGTTTGACAAATTTAAACAAAAACAAATTTAGTTTAATTTTTTATCTGTTCAACACAACAATGGTGAATCTAATTTTTTGTTTTTTTAAAATTTAATCTCTGTTAAAAACACTATCTGTTGAAATATTTGTGTCATTTTAAACAAATCTGAGCCATTTTGAACAAATCTGAATGGTACTATCTGTCATACATACACAGATATAAATAGAGAGATGGGAGGGAGAGAGGTCCAATCTTAACAAATCAGCAAATGGAACAATGATAAAAACAACAAATAGAACTAATCTAAAAATATCATCTGTAAGACTCTTCCCACCAGCAAGTTCAAGCAACAACCTTGAACTGATCCTCACGTCAAGCTACAGGAGCTTAGAACCCAACCAATAATGTTACAATGTTGATATAAATTCATTTTCCAATGAGTTAGCTTTCTTTCCCAATCTGCCCTAAAAGAAACAAAACGATCAACTAAATATTAAATGTTGAATCGACTGAACAATTCAATACAAACCTAGCTGAATCGACTAAACGATTCAAAATGCAAAGAAATATGCGTTTGACAAGTATATGTATATATCTAAAATAAGAAATCGATGCATAAATTCAATTTCAAGAAACAAAAGAACGATTCAATCTCATCAATTGCAAGTCGTGATAATTAGATACGATTACAATCGAGAAAACAAAAGAAATTAGGGCAAAATGGAGAGTGTGAAATCAGAGACTGGAGAATGAATGAGATTACCTCAATTGTCAGTCGCCATGAATGACTGATGGCTTCGGCAGCCGCACCGAAAGCAGATTGGCGCTATTCAATTGTCGATGAGAGAGAGGCGGCGGTGAAAGAGGAAAAGGATGAGGATGAGGGAGGATGGCAGAGATCGGCGCAGGAGATGAAGAGAGATCGATATGAGATGTGAGTGAGTGAGGAGAAAGTGAAAGAGAAGAGACAGAGGAAGACAAGAGGAACAGCGATAATGAGTCAGCGGTAACAAAGGTGAGGAGAAGAGAGAGAGAGAGAGAGAGAGAGAGAGAAACGAGAGTGTTGTTTTTGTCACTCAATGTTAAGAATTTGGACGGAAAGTGCTCACTGTTCACATAAGCATCACGTGAGCACATTTTAGCAGTATTAGACGAAAAATATTACTACAAGAAAATTACACTTTTCACCTTCTAATTTTTATTCCATTTTTATTTTGATCACTTACATTTTAATTTGCACTCAAATTTTGACCTATGGAGTAATGGGAGTAGGGATGGCAATTTGAATTCGGTCCGACGGGGACCCGAACCTCCGACCCCGATTAGAATGGATTTTTCCTGAAAATTTCCCCCCATAGGGTCAAGGATGGTCTTGAAAATTGAATCCCTGACGGTTTTCGGGTTGGGGACGGGAATAGGTTCCCCTATCCCCAGTCTCGAATAATTCCCGAATATTCCACACACACACACACACACACACACACATATATATATATATATATATGTTTAGGGTTATTGGGGTCTCATTTTTAGCCTCTCTCTCCTACTCACACTCACTTCTCTTCTCTCAGCCTCTTTCTCTCTCTCTCTCTTTGCTGTAGGTGTTCCTCACGTCGTCGACAGCGGCTCCTCTGATGTCTTTCTCTCGGATCTATGTTGATCTATTGTGTATGATACCGAGAAAGAACCTCCTAGTTCTATTTGAGGAATCTAGAGGGAAACGAGAAGGAGTTGAGATCATATTTGTGAACAGAGATACAATATGTAACTTTTTGCCAGTATTGCTTAGGAAAGAATAGCTATTTCATTCCGATAAAAAGAGAACTTTTCGACGACAAGAACAAGGATAAGTCCCCCAACATCCCAAAGACACTGGTTGTTCAAGTAAGGTGCGGTCGCAACAAATCAGATTAGAGAACTTAAGATGTAGTAGTTGGTTATAGTTTTGTTGTATGCTTCAGAGATTCAAGTTTTGTATTTATTATTTTCTTCGGATTTCATGGTAATGCCATTGGCATTATGATGATTGATTTAGTCCTTGGAGTGGTGCTGCTAATTTTTTCATTTTCTCTTTTTCACAAACAAAAATGAGAAATAAAGATCTAAACCTTTCATTTCCTATAGAAAATTTGGAAAGTGATCAAACTGTTTGATAAATTGCTTTTAGTAACTGATAACTGTCATTTGTCTAATACTCAAGGTGGTCAGTAAAAATGAGCATTTTTTTTTCTAGAAGTAATTGAAATGAATGTGTTGATCGTTTGGTGTTGTATTTGATGTTTTCAATCTGTAAGTTATACACACTCAGACTTCTGTATTACTGATTTTTTTTTTTGGACCGGCAATTTTCGAGACCGGGGAAACCCAATCCCTGTTAGGGGGCAGGGGCGAGGACGGTGATAGGTTTCCCGTCAAGGATCAGGGTCAGGGATGGAGAAAGTTTTACCATCGGGGATCGGGGACGAGAAGTGTAATCCCCGGCCCTACCCCGGCCTGATTATATTAAAACTAAACTTGAAGTTTGAGGACTTCTATTACAATTAAAAATTAAGATATTATAATGAAATTCAAGTAAAACTTGGAGAGTGAAAATTGTAATTTATGCTCTTTTTTATTTTTTATTTTTTTTGTATCAATAGTAATTTTCATTAAAAGTTAAGTTAGCCAAACGACACTTACAAGGAAATCAACAAGAAACTTACACTGAACTGAGGAAAAAATCTTGTTCAAAACAAAGGAAAAATTCCCAAATGAAGCACCAAAGAGAAGCTATTTATATATCAAGATATAACATTTATACTGCGGAGCAAAAGTCAATCATAAAAGTTTGACAATAGAATAAGTCTAAGATAAATACATAGGTCACATCCATCTATGTGGGTAAGCTATAAACACACCAAAAAAAAGAAAACAAAACATAAACCCTCAAACCCATAACGTCTAGGCAATAGTGGTGGCGGATTTGGGTGATGGGAGACGGAAAATTCGACGAAGAAATGGTGGAAGGCGGCAAATCAGGTTAATGGTGGCTAAACAGGAGGTGATGACGTAGTGACAATGTCGGAGTGGGGCAAAGAATGAGAGAAACACCAGATCCGGTGAAGGCCACGATCAGAGTTAAAACGAATGGGAGAGAAACACCTTCTAGAATGAGGGAGAAAGGTGGAAAGCCAAAAGC